TCAAACTCGATGTTCAGTTTTCTCGATTTTGTTTTGAAAGGCTATTTCACATTAATCAATGACCTCCCTGCAAATAAAAATGACCATTTAAATGTTTTAAAAATTATTAGGACTCGATTTCAGTTGGTCTTTTCTTCATGGTGATACGACCCTAAATATTTTCCAGGACAATATGCTTAAAGTTTCTCTGCTAGTTAAGGTAACGTTTTCTATTTTGCCTGTTTGTTTATTACTTGACATGTTATACTTAACTGACGAGTCCCTAAAATTGTTTTTGCCTGCGAAATAACAACCAATCTCACAAAGTATTTTTACATCTCCAAACTGCATTTATCCCTTCTATATAAAAAAAGATTTGGTAACAGCATACTTTACACAATCAAAATGACCATGGACCACAACTGAATTTGCAGGAAGAGTTTATCATTCTAGAATAAACATGACAGTAAGAACTCTTTCAATCACTCCTCTACACTACTTTCACAAAACAAAAATTTGACGAAGGATCTACAAGAAGTCAAATTCAAACTAATAAAACGCTTTCAAACAACATAAAATGTTATAGTGAATAATCCAAGTAATGACACTTGAAATGTAATCTCCTGCATAGAACCAGTTTCTTAAATTTTTCATAAAATATGTCAAACCTTGTGTTACCAATTGTAGGACCACAAAATGGATTTTAAGTCCAATTTCCGTCATGAAGTAAGAATCTCCGAAGTAGTTCAAATGCGATGATCTTGAATGAGACAAATATCTTATTTCTATCCTTTCACTAAATCTGCAGTTTTGTTACCATGGTTTATACTCTCCTAATTTTGAGGTATTCTAAAGAATATTAGTAATTTACGGCATCAGTTCATCAAATAATACAGCGACTACTCTTTTCTGATACATGATAAAAATATCATTTAATCACCAATTTGCAGTAAATTAATGAGTAAACTAACCAAATTCAAAGTGAGTAGTAACAAAACAATATCGTAGCCTCTTCAAGATCATCTGACCTTAAGTTTTATTTTGTTCAGTGTAGCAATGAACTATGATGAAGATTCCATTGAGCCGGTAAAAAGATATATCTAGGATAAATATCAGATTGTAGGCACCATTTAAACAGACCTCAATTATTTATTGTTATAAACTTTAAAAAAAAATTGTCAACCACACATGAATAGTGAATGAGAATAGAATCGTGCACCTCTAAAAGTTTTGAATATTCATTCAATCTTATTTTGCCTGAATGAAATTTATGTGCTGGAAGTTCTGGACGTAAATATTTACATGTATTAAATTATCACACACCGTCCGTTTGAACAAGAATGTCGATGTTGCTTGAGATTTTTGTTGGGATCATCTGAACAATCGTCATCGGTCTTCATTTCATGAGCTCCTGGAATGAAACATTTAATTTCTGTTATAGGTAAAAATTATGAAAGTCAAGACCTTGAAATGTATGTGACTAGTTAGCATCAGCCAAAAACATACTTATTATTTTACATGACAAACAGGCTCCCAAATGCCATGGTATGTCCGAGAGTGGGGTGGGCCCGCTCTCCCTCTCGAAACGCTCTTACACAGCCAAACGTATACAACCTCTGTCAGGGAAGTTCTACTCACTGCCTTCTCGTGGCGGGGGTGTTGTTTACGAAAATGAGAGTACGAAAAGCGAATGTTCGGTGCTTTAACCGGGTTCTAAACCAATGGTGAACATGGTCTCTGGTATCCTGAAGGAATAAATGGCGTATGAACCAATCGTTGGTCACCAGCTACCATGAGAATGCATCTCCTCACGATGCTCCTCTGCCTTGTGGATCAGGCCTTTAGGTCAAAGGCTCGGGCTGTGGCCTCCTAAGAAAATTACCTGATTCGGTCTGGGCACCTGGGCAGCATCACAGCCAAACACACACAAATATGGTGTGGCCGCATATATATTTGGTGCCCTCTTGTACTAATATTTATGTGTTCAAATAAATAATAATAATAATGACAAACAGGATGGAACTGGATTATTCTTAATTTTGACGACTTATTATGTTTTGCAGGTTACATGTAGTGTGACAGAACCTAATAAATAAATAAATCTGAAGAATTATATGAATGTCATCAATTTGTAGTTCAAATCACTTCAATATATAGAACCGTTTTACATTGATCTGCTCCTACACTCCGCCTGTAGCTCTTCCAGAGTTACTGTTGGTCCCAAGCCCGGGTAAAGGAGGAGGGTAAGTAAGCTCCTACATGAATGAACTTAACACAATAAAAGGTTGTCGATTCAAATCCCATAGTGGTAGAGCTAGTAAGAGTATAAGCAGTAATAGGTAAGATTAGATTTTGAAAATGTTATATACTTTATTTCCTCAAGTTCATCATGTGTCTGACCGACTGTGTATTAGATGTAGACACTATGTGATCTAAAATGTACTTATTAGTTTTAGAATTAACAACCGAAACTGGAAAAGATTCACCTGGTTCCTGAAATCGTATTTATTTTCATTTTGGTAGTGTGTACTTAGAAGATTGATATCTAGAATTCAAACCATATATTTTCGAACATTATCCTCTTTCATGAAATAATGTTGGATCTTCATTTCTTCAAGCTACAAATAATATGGCTTTATTTAAAGTATATTTTTCACATCGACTAGAGGATCCATTGAAAGTAACTTCATGGTGAAAATAAACAATATTTGATATGAGATTATGTGAACTATAATTTGGTTTAAATTCACTCAGAATTTGTACTTCATATAGATTGAATTTCCCATCAGAAACAAATACGTTATGAGGACAAATAACATTTAATATGAAATCTCAACAGTTGAAATCATGAGTCAATTAAAGCTAGACCACCATGGTAAACCTAGAGGCACTGGACAGCTGTTTCGTCCTATTGTGAGACTCCTCAGCAGTGCGCATCCACGACCCCGACCCGCGGTATTCGAACTCAGGACTTAGCTTCAATTGACTCATGATCTCAACTGTTGAAACTACTAAAATCTCCACAAAACCCCTCCTGATACTATTATGAAATCATTAGGATTTAATTTTCCTGAAATATTTTCCTCGAATTTATTGTAATATCATTAGAGAATAATGTATCATTGGACAAATCGGTATCTATTAAAATTGCATCGGATTTCGGATCATTATTTGGTCCATTCAATATATTTTTCTCATTTTTATAGGACATTTCACCAGAAATATGTGAATCATCAGAGCAAAAGAGATCTGGTAAGATCACATGAGAAATCCAACAAGACGTTGATCTCGATAGATTAATGAGAAGATGGAGTTGATCTGATCTCATCGTTCTATCGAAATTTATAAAAGGGACTAACTGCTTCAAAGAAGAAGCTTTTATCTCACAACTCTTCAATGAATTATTATCTGCATGATCTTGAGCATGGATTGGATTAGGAAAGCTAAGTAATATAGTAAAATCCTGAATGTCTCGGAGAATCACATTATGAAAATTTTCGCCTTCATGGTATTCGAAATTAGTACACATTACATGATTCAGTAGTAGTTAATTGAGAGTTACATAAGGAAGTGGAATAGGCTTAACTGGGAATGCCAAAGTTTCTTATAAACTGTAAGCATCCTTTCCAATAAATGTGAGGAAATTAGAGAGAAGTTTATAATCCCTAACATGATTCCTGGTCATATTCCAGATTTTTAAATATTTCCATGTAATCTTCGAAAGCTTCAGAATTTGAATGTGGATCAAGCTGTCCAATCACGGGCTCCATTGCGACGTCAATATGATAATTAGATGTATTTCAATTATTGTACTAACTTAAAATTCCCGAAGTAGTGCAATTTAAGGCAGGTATAACTAGATGAGCACAAATGAACTTATTGTATTCGGAATTTGTAATCAGCTTTCCATCGGTTACAGAGGAATTACTAGTTTGTAAAAGTACCAAAAGTATTTGAAATTCTAAACTTGACCATGAATACATGTCCGTATAGGGTTAATTTATTAACACATTAACATTGTTTAAAGTATTTGTATAAGTGAGTTATCTGTCGTTTACATTATTGGCTGTCAATGTATATAAGTGACTACAATGAGTTAGTTAACTCTATTTTACCAGCAGATAATGATTAGTCTCATCACAAAATTTTGTTTTACTAATCAACTGTAATTTATAACTTTACTATTTCAACATGGTACTATGTCTACAAAACAAGTCATGCAAATTACTCTTCAATCATTGTCTTTAGCACTATAAGTAAACATTCGATAATATTCAGTGAATCGTGAATTTGTTAAAGTTAGACATTAACGCCGTTAGACACCGGATCAGTGTTTTAAATATTAAGCGTTCGCGCTCGAGACTGACAGGTGTTGGGTTTGAATCTCGTGAGGCATAGATCGTAGATGCGTACTTCTGAGTAGTCTCATACTAGGACTAAAAGGTCGTCCAATGCGTCCAGGTTTTCCATGATAGTGTCTACTTTCAATTGACTCATAAAGTCAACTATAAAATTGCCAAAATCTCCACGAAATCCTTTTTGATAAGAATCATCGTAGGCTCATTAGTGACTGGCTTCATTAGGTATTTCCTGGAGTCCTAGTGAGAAGCAGTGACTAATAGAATTCAACCAGGTCTGTTGTGAGATAGAAATTGACTGAAAACAACGGTGGACGGTGGATCAATTTCGTGGATTGGTTGAACTTAGACATTAGCGCCGTTGGATGCCAGTCGGCTCAGTGATCTAAAGGTTGAGCGTTCGTGCTCGAGACTGATTGGTCCTGGGTTTGAACCTCGTGAGGCATAGACCGTGGATGCGCACTTTTGAGGAGTCCCATACTAGGACTAAAATGTCGTCCAACGCTTCCAGGTTTTCCATGATGGTGTCTAGCTTCAAGTGACTCATAAATTCAATTGTTGAATCAAACATTATCGAAAAATTCCTCAAGCTCTCTATGAGCTTTAAACAATACGACATCATATCAATAAGCTAGAAAAAATCTCATATTTCTCTTAATTTACCTTCTCTTTTTGGTAGAACATTGTCTTGAAATTCTGTAGTTTTGTTACCAGCCGGTAAATAATGTCCAACAACGAAAATTATATTACCTATTTCTGATTTAGTAAAACCGAATCCAACTTTTTTCGTTTTTTTCCAGATCATTTGAGTAAAATAACCTGAAATAAAATATTGATTCAATTTATTAATTCGACTATATGCTGGGCATCAATTAATCCATCTACTACCTTGTTATCGAAGTCATAACAATCTACTTTTCTACTCAAATGCCCTGTTACGGCCAGGAGTGGAGAGAGTCAGATCTTTCTCTACAAATGATCTCATATGGCCACGTGCATAAGAGCACAGCGCAATGACACACATGGACTCCAGACTCCTGAGGAAACAAATGGCGTATGAACCAATCGTCGGTCACCGGCTACCATGGTACTGCATCTCTTTACGTTGCTCCACTGCCTTTTGGATCAAACTTTTAGATCAAAGGCTCTGGGTGTGGCTCCCTAAGAAAACCATCTGATTCGGTTTAGGCACGCGGGAAGTATCTAAGCCCTTACACATATTGAGTAACTTGTGTGGCGAGTATTTATTTGGTGCCACTTAGTATCAGTATTTAGGTGTCCAAATAAATAAATAGTAAGTAAAATTGTGACCAAAGATGATTTGTTTGTTCTAGTCTCCACCTTAACAAAATGCATTTTCTCAAAGGAATACTCAAAGTCATAGTAGTAATTCTATATACAGTAGCTACTGACTTGATGCAATAATTCTCGATCAAATCAGGATTTGTGTGTTAGATCTACTCCTGCTAAGAACAGAATATTCATGTTCCACTTTACCATAAGTGAAACTAGGAGTAATTTAGAGTATTATCAAATTGAGTCTGCATATTTATTGAACATCCTATTTACGATTGTCTATATATTTGATGCATTTATAATTTTTGTGTAATCGATCACCAACTGTGTAGAAAAACGTTTTGAAGTGGATTTAAAATATGTGAATGATGTGAAACTGCAATACCATTATGGTGTGTGCTACTGATCTCGACAGATGTAAGTAGTATGTATAATCAGTCGGAAGTAAAATGTTTGGTGGTAGGAGGTTATGAAGAACAAAGAGAAGAGAACGAGAACAGAGAGTGATTGGTGTGGAAACGAAGTTACAGTCAAATCTGAGACAATTGATTAAACGTTTGCAAATTAAGTGTTTACTGTATGATTCTCAGATTTTACTAAGTTGTTCTGTCATTTTGTGTGTTCAAATAGATTCGATTGTAATCAGATAGGGGTTTTGTGGAAATTATAGTAATTTTAATAGTCAATTGAAGGTAGACCACCATTGAAAACCTGGGATCACAGGACGGCTGTTTCACCCTACTGTGGGACTTCTCAACAGACAAAAAGGTAAGCCTATATAATTCCTACTAAACCGAATAATGATAAAATGAACAGAAGTTTTATTTAAATGTATCTATGAAATCACTAGAAATTCAACCATTTTCGAAACTACAGTATAGAATTAAATAGATGAAATATTTTCACATACTGATGAGAAGACGTAACCAGTGGAGCTAATTCATGTCGGGGAGAAACAGGTTTCTACCTAAATAATGGAAGATAGTCGCGCAATTTCGTGGATTTGTTGAGGTTAGACATTAACACCACTGGATTCCGGCTCAGTGGTCCAGTAGGTTAAGCGTTCGCGCACAAGACTGAAGGCCATGGGTTAGGATCCCGCGAGTGGGATCATGGATACGCACTGCTGAGGAGTCCCACAATAAGACGAAATAGCCATTCAGTGCTTCCTGGTTTTCAGTGGTGATCTAACATCAATCGGTTCATGACCTCAGTCAAAAACTTAACAATCTCCATAACCCGAAAACTGTTACTTATAAGTAGTAAGAGAAAACAGAACAATGAATTTATAAACAATGATGGATGGTGGCTAACAGTGGAATACAGGAAACCCGTTTCGTCCTATTCGAGACTTAAGGTAATATTGAGGCAGTTCGTACAGGATGCATATATGCCAACAACAGACTGATTGATTACAGCCCTAAACTACAATGGGAAGATAAAAGCAAACAACATCAATATCAGAACTCAGTAGCTAAGTGGATAACACAATGGAGATTGAAGTGAACAGTATTGAGTTCCAGTGCTAGAGTGAACATCAACTCTGAAATGAAGATATATTCAGCTGGTATAATCCCAAATAGGATGAAACACGCGTTAAACTGGATTCCACTGCTAACCATCACCAAGTCAATTAAGAACAATAACTTGCCTTTATTCTCTTGATTATCTTCATTGTAGTCATAATTTTCTGATTGTTTATACCATGCTCGTATCGCATTCAGTCCTGAAATTTTTTTATATTATAAAAAAACATACATTAGTAATTATCTATTAGACATTTCCTGTATGTTTCCGTAAAGAAATTCAGATCTAGTGTATGCTACTCATATCGGCATGAGTAGTATGTAACACTAATCGGAAGTGGAATGTCAGCAACATTATAATTCATGAATGAACCAATGAAATATAAGATAATAAGCCTTGGATTTTGGCGCGGAATCTATTCACCCACTTAGCTAAATAGAGTTTTGGCAGGTCGTGATGAAAATCCTAAATCTGACTCTTAACCTTAACCATCAACTGTAAATCATAATTCTAATTCCACAAACAGGTTTATAGCTCTCATTTGGTCCTGGCTATTAGGTGGACACTCTCAAGGTCAGTCTAGCGTTGCTCAGAGGTCGTCCATAAACTATAGTTTCACCGGAATGTTTAGCAGCAAGAAATTGAGAAAATCGAATCGAAGAGAACGGCAATAGAGAGTTATTGTTATAGCAATGAAGGAACAATGAAGTTTGAGATAATTGATGAAGGATTTGCAAATGAAAGAACTTTGTAATTTTAGTTTAAAATACGTTCGGTTTCCTTCACCTATGTTCTCGTTCATTTCAATGGAAGCATTAGTAAACAAAATTTAGTACAATTAGTTTGTCAAGATTATGTGAAATGTTAAGGAGTTCAATTGATTAGTCTCTATTATCTAATGTATATCATTAGACAATTACATCAAAATCTCTATTTATTCATAAGAGTTTTAAAGCTTAGTTGTTGTGGTGTTTGTATGAACTAACGATTCGTTTGTACTTGTTGAATGCTTGGTTTTGAATTCCAAATACAGTATATTCGTTCATGCTTATCTAATACTTCTTGATTCAACTGAGTTATTTCTGGGATTCTTAGTTTGTATTATAATTCAAATGCCCATAATCATAACATTGGCGTCGCGATGAAGCCTGTGATGGAATGGTTGGACCTACATTCAGATGTTGATGCTTTTAAAGATTACTCCGAAAGACTCGAAATCTGGTCTGTGATCAAGGAAGATGTTGAAGATGCTAATATTATGGCACATTTCCTCACATTAATCGACGAAGACGAATACAACTTAATAACAACTCTGGCTTTACCAGAAAAGCCTATTTCGCTTTCTTATGCAACTGTCAAGGAACTACTGCTAGACTATGTTAATTATACAAATTTCAAATGTGGTAAAGGAAGATTTCGTAAAATGATTCATGAGGATATAAAAAATTCCCCTACATTACTACGTCATCCCAATCCCGTGAGTACTCAAGGTCATGCTGATAATTTATTTGAGGAGTCGCGATGCAGTTCACAAAGTTGGGCACAAGTCTTAGCCAATATTTGTCCTGTAGCAGGTTTCACTGATTTAATTCATGTATATTTCGTACTTTTAAATGTTTCAAATATGGTGAGATTGGACACATTTAGTCAGTTTGTAATGCTACTGTTCATCTTGCTGCAACTAATGCTGAAATTTGTAATTGTGATCCTATTAAATTGGATATTTGTAATGATCATTTATCTTTATCCAAAAATTCAAAAAGCGGTATAGAGTCACATAGAAGTTCAGAGTTAAATGAAACTCAGAATCATTGTGAAACAAAAGTTTCTAATCAACCAAAGTCTTTCCAGATTTCTCATGTTATTATACCAGATATGATTTTTCCTAATGATTCACATATTTCTGATGACATTTCTTATAAATCTGAGGAAAGTATGTTGAATGAATCAAATCATGATCGAAAACCTGATGCAGTTTTGATAGATGCTGATTCATGACTCTCCAATGACATAATAAATTTCAAGAAAAGATTTCAGAAGTATCAAATCTTGATGTCATATCATATACTACTAATCCTCATGATACATTTGCTTCTTGTGGGAAACTTGTTCATTGTGAAGAACAAGTCCTAAATGAGCTTGATTTTGATTATAATTTGGATGATTGCATATCAACTGCTGTTTATCCTTAACATGAAGTCACTTCTAATGAATAGTCAGTGTGAGAAATATATTTTAAATAAAGCCACATCATTCATAACTTGAGCATAAGAAGATCTAACATAATTTCGTGAAGAAGGATAGTGTTGAAAAATCTATGGTTCAAATTCTAGATATTAGTGGTTTCAGTACACAACTGACATGATGATTGTATACAATTCCAGGAAGCAGGTGAAGTTAGTTCCAATTGCAGTTGTTGATCCTAATACTAATGACTGCATTCTACATCATACAGAGTCTACATCCAAAGCACAGTCGAATTGGCGCAGAATGAACATAAGGAAAGGACATAAATCGATTACAGAAACTTGGACTTCAATTTAAGCTTTGGCGGATAGGGTGTTTGTATGAAATAAAGATTCCTTTGTACTTGTTGAATGCTTGATTTCGAATTCCAAACACAATACATTCGTTCGGGCTTATCTCTTACTTCTTTATTCAATTTAGTTATTTCTGGGATTCTTAGTTTGTATTATAATTCAAATATTCATAATTATCATAGTTCTATAGTAGTTAATAGTTGAATTCAAAAGGCATATTTCATTCAACTTGACTTTCATCAGCTGAATGTACAAGATCTTTGAATCTCATTTAATCAATTTTGAATTAAAACTTCAGATGTTTTCTTTGAAGATGAATAAACCAAAGACAACTACTTACTATTAATAAAATATTCTCAATATACATCATCAAAGTAAAAAAATTTGTTTTTAAAGTAAGATCTATGACAACATATCAATTCTATAGTTTTCAATACGATAATTCCAGTAGAAAATTTGAGGCGAAATAATCTTCAAGTAGATCAACACTTTAACATAACACATTATGCAGATCATATTATTCAGTAGAACGATGAAAACTCCATAATTAAATTGTTCAGCTCAGAGAACAAAACTTCAAAACAATAATAATGTAGTAACAATGTAGTGAACAGAACATGGGTGGAGACAATCGAATGTTAATAAAATCTAACAATCATAAAGTAAATGCTTATTTTGCAAAATGTCCATCAGTTGTCTCAAAATGACTCAGACTTCATTCTAACACCTGTGCTCCAGTGGCCTGCTCAGCCATCTACATCCGATGTCCGCCCATCAGCCGCACATCACACTGCTCCTCTCCGTCGACAGCATCTGCTACAGCCAACGCCGCCTCTTCAGAACGCTCCACTCGACGCTACCTCTCCGCACCAGACTGCCCCAACTAGCACCCCAGCTCCAGGCCCGCAACGGCGTTCACAGAACATCACCCTTTCTCTCCTGGATGGCAGAGACACCGAAGGTAGTGAACAGAACACCGGTGGAGAAAATCGGATGTATTTAACACAAAATTACAGAACTTACTAATAAAATCTAGCAATGATAAAGTAAATGCTTAGTTTGTAAAATGTCCACCAATTGTCTCAAATGACTCAGACTTCATTGTTCTTACATTTTCATACAAACTGCATTCTGTTACCATTCGTTACTGTTCGATCCTCTTGTCTCGCTGCTGCTAGACCTCTTGTTCACGACTAACATCATATACTACTTATGTCAATATAAGTAGCACACATCACAACAACAGAAGCATTTGAAACAATATCAAACTTAATGTTTAATTACTAAATCTATACTTCAAAGTACATATCAACGATAAACGTTTTTTTTATTTTTCAAGGTCATTTTATCGACCACTATAGTACTCACAAATGATAAATTCCATATCGATGCATCGAAAATTTCTTATTTCAATTATATTTACAGTCATTATGATACAGCTGAGATCATAATTGATTAAACTGATTAATTTAAAGCTGCTTAACAGATGATTTTTACTAGAACATAAATAGTTTAGATTAATTATCAGAAAAGAAGTGGTTTTGTGGAGACTTTTAGTAATTTAACAGTTGAATTTATGTGTTGATTAAAGCTAGACCATCAGAGAAAACCTGGAAGCAATGGATAACCATTTCGTCCTAGTACGGGTCTCCCCAGCAGTGCATATCTATGACCCCACTCATGTGGTGGATTCGAATCTCGAGAATGGGAACGTGAGTGCTCATTGCTAAAGGGTCCCATCCTGGGAAGAAATGTCCATTCAGTGCTTTCAGGTTTTCCATGATGGTCTAGCTTTAATTGACTAATGAATTCAGCTACTAAATTTAGAATAGAACAATTCGTTGTAACAAAAAAATGAAGTGTTTACCACGCTTTATGTTGACTAACTTTTTTTCACCTATTTCAATTTCAATGCTACATTGCTTTACACAAATTATATTACAATTCTATTTGACTGTGAGTTAGGTTTAAGGCTACTACTAAACTTTGAAAAATATATCGTTCAAAATTTAACTTATTTACACAGAAATAAAGTTGTGTTATGTAATATTATAGATAGAGATAAGTTAGAAATGTTAGCCATTAGGCGCCGATTCATTGGTTAAAGGTTAAGCGTATGTTATGGGACCTGAAGGTTCGCGGTCCAATCCCCGTATAGGCTATTGATGCCGAATTTCGAAAAGTCTCATATTAGAACTAAACAACTATCCAATACGTTTCAATAATTGGGCCTTGTGTTACGTATACCTGAACACCGTCTACTATGACTTACAATGCTGACTAGTGTTGGAGACGGTTGGGAGAAAGTTAGGGGTGGTCATACCAAAACATGGCATCGGTGCTTGAAGTCACTAACTTTCAGTCTGAGACATGTTGGTAGATACAGACTACTTGGCTGTGGTTCGTGTGACTATCATAGCCAATTGTTGAGGACTCTTGATGACATTGCTTAGAATCGATCACAATAGCGTAGGTGTACACACTCTCTATCTTCCCTTAAACCATGAGATTAAAATCATTTTATACCTTACTTTCTACGAACCGATTCTTACTCCCTGTATCATAACCTTATATGCAATTTTTTTTAAAAATATATTACTATCACTGAAGTGGCTAATATATAATATACCCTTGTGTGCCAGAATAATTTAACATTGGTTTTCAGGAGAACTAGACACAATCCAGACTTTCACATAACAACCCAAGCAGTATAGCTCAATCCTGTTTAATAGGAGAGCCAAACACCGCTCAAGCTTAAAATTTGTAGCTAAAACAGTAGAGACCGATCCCGTTTCCGGGAGGACCAGACACCATTCAAGCTTAAATTTTATAACCCGATGAGTATAGCTAAATCCTGCTTCACAACAGAACCAGACACCGTATACACTATGACCCTACAATCTGAATAAAACAATTCATTTCTTTGGCGCAAACTCACGGGTACCGAGCACCCTGGTCGACCATTCACAATATTCATATACACGTCCACATTATGTGCATAATTATTCCGATCAATGATCGCGTAAATTAGTCAGGCCCACCATGAACAGACCAAAGTTGAACTATTCCGCCTACACAATAGTCAAACTCATTAATGTTAGCAATAGCAACATGCCTTGCAATGTCTCAATGACAATGACCCTTGAAAACACTGAAAAGTAACCACTAGTATGAATGAAATTGGTGAACAAGCAAATTAAGTTTGTGCACGAACAGTTAATAAAACTTGTCAACGTAATGCTAAACCATCTACAATATTAATGTCAAACCTTCAGTCTCATATGAGATATTCAACTCTACGTTAGCAATATAGTTTATAGCTATTGAAATAACTACATCTATAAATTTGGTGTTTATCTTGTTATACTAATAATAAATAAAAATTTGAACCGATAAATATATGTATCTAGTCCTACATTGAGGCTAACTGACTAACTGAATGATTATCTATAATGGTAATCATCAGAAGGGGTTTTGTGGAGATTTCTTGAAATTTCATTGATTGAAGTCATGAGCCAATTGAAGCTAGACCACCATGGAAAACTTGGAAGCACTGGATGGCCGTTTCGTCCAAGTATGGGACTCCTCAACAGTGCGCATCCACGATCGCGCACCCCGCGAAATTCGAACTAGGGACCTATCGGTCTTGCGAGACCGAAACTAAGGAGTCCCATACTAGGACGAAACGGCCGTCCAGTGTTTCCAGGCCTTCCATAGTGGTCTAGCTTCAATTGACTCATGATTTCAATCAGTCTAATGGTAATCATCAAAATTCAGCAATCTTCAATAATCTACCGTAAAAGCCAAACAAACTTACCTGCAATTTGACAATTTTGCTGACCAATTATTAAAGCCATATTTTGACCACATATAAAATGATCAATTTTTTGTAATTGATGTAATTTTTGTAAATATTCCGAATGAATTTGTGCAGATTTTATTAAACGATAATTTAATTTCAATTTAGGACAATTATGTAATTGTCTTAATCTAATATATAAATAAACAAAGAAAAGAAACAAAAAAAACAAAAAAAAACTCTTGCAATTTGAATTCTGGATTGTCATGAAGTTTTAGGCGGCTATTTTTGTCTTATTTAAAACTTGTCAATTGAAGTAGCTTAGGGTTTGTTAGATCTATCAAAGAGTCCAAGTGACCCGATTGAGATACGCGAGAAACCGAAGTTCCAAATCAATGATTTGTCTACAACAACCGATCTTTATTGAATAATACACAAAATTTAGTTGCAAACCTCAACTTGTGAAGTATCTGGGGCGTTTAAACGCGTCCCTCATGTATGAAAATAAACAAGGCTTCCTGTAAGAGTAACATAATGAATAATTACAACATACGATAGTACAAAGGACAACTAATAACTGGAATATTATTGTCCGACCGGCCATTTTTTTAAAAAAAAAAATTTTCACCCCAAAATTACAATATTTTTCATCCCGTGTTTCGTCCAATGAAATGGCTAGTTTCAAAAATTAGATTTAATTGGTTAGTTATGTCTTGAAGATTGTTATAAATTATCAGTACTTGTTGACGAAGCACAATTTCAATCGTCATTATGGAGCAGACTAACGTGCCGAGTACAAACGCTGGTGTTTCTCACGTAACGGAAATGGAGGAAGTCTTTTTGACTACCTTGTTTCTGGTTGCGTTTCCATCGGTTGAAGCGTTAAAGACCACTATAACAAATTTTGAAAGATCGACTTACAGTCATTATGTAGTGAGAGATTCGCATATTGGCAGAGATCAAAAATCGTACATTAAATTTGTGTGTTGGCGAAATGGGCGTATAAGATCTAGCGGTTCGTCACAACGTATTAGACGGAGGAGGTAATTTGGTAAATGGTTTTATAATTTTTTTAACGAAGGGCTTCTATGAACACCCAATGTCCGGCCTTCATGTTTTGTAAGATTATAGACGGCTATTGGACTGTTGTACGTAGATATGTGCATCACAACCACGAGTGCAATTCCCTGAGGTACCAAGGTAATTCATGGGTGCGCAGGTTAACGGATGAAGAGTTTGAAACTGTGAGACCGCTGCTGATTTCTGGTACCGCTGCATTCCACGTAAAGAATTTTGCTTACCAATCTTATGGGAAACGTCTGACTGATCAAGATGTCTGTAATATGCGGTACAAAGTGTTCTCACACGCGAACCTTCCTGGTACGCAATTTGCCAATTTATAATGTACACTATAGGTGATTATGGGAAATTGAAAGCTCACATAACATCCTTGGGTGGGCTTTGCGAATACGAATTGGACGATGAGAACTGTCTATCGTATTTCTTCTTCATGACTGCTGAGCAATTGAATTTGGCCGGTCACTTTTGTGACGTAATTGGTTTTGACGGGACGTACAAAACGAATAACGAGAACGTCCATTTATATCGAATCGTTGCCCTGGATATGAATTTTAAGGCAATACCCATGTGCATTGCATTTTTAAGTCGCTAAACGTCGACATTCATTTCTGCGTTCCTGCGTTTTTTCCAACGGTGTACCAACAGTCGACAGCTGGTAGGTATTGTGACCGATGATTCACCTGCAATTGCTGCTGCTATTACGCAGGTGTATCCGGATGCACACCATATTTTGTGTCGCGTACACCTTGTTCGGAATGTGATAAAGAGGGTAAGTGTTTGGTTCATTAACATTAACCCAGTAACCGTTATCGTAGAGGGTGCGATCAGAAATTGTACAACTGTTCTTTCGCCTGATGTTCACTCGAACGGTTGAAAGGTTAATCAAAATCTACATAACATGATTTTGTAGTTTTAACAACGTACTTTCGTTAATCGAAATGTCTGACGGAACGTTTGGAAGATACGTCAGAGACCACCTTCTACCACGAAAACACAAATGGTCCACTGCTTTTCGACAGCCATCCACTCTCTTTGAACTGAACAATACGAACTTCGTCGAGACCAGTCACCGAGTCTTGAAGATGTATCACCTTAATAGAAAAACACCGGTTCTCAGATCCATTTTCAATGTGCTGTTTCGTACTGGATATTGGATGGAAGCAAGGTTACATAAATATTCAATGGATTGTCGGGGGAAAGCCGATATTGGTGAGGAGCCGGAATTACGTCGACTTCAGGAACGACTAACTCCAGTTGCCTGTCAACTACTGAAGCGACACCTTCGTATTCCTATAACGCAGTCTGCATTGTCGGAAGATTTATTCACCGCTATGGACGCCACGGGGACGTACTACGTACACATCGATACTAGCCGGTGCTCGTGTCCATTCTTCATTGAAAACGGAATACCATGCCGTCACATATTGGCTTACTGCACACACAGTAACACCGATGTGAACGTACAGTCAATTTGTGACAGGTGGTTACACTATGATGGTTATCTGACTCATATTGCAGTTGAAAATTATTTCCCAATGCAATTGAGTCAGCCAAGCATGAAGAATGCAGTGATAGCGTTAGTCAGGCGAATGTCGGAGGAACAATGCAGTTCACTTCATGGCTTCATTGTGACGACGTCCGACCGCGAGAACGAGTAAAGGCCCTTTTCAGGGCCACCCACAATTTGATTTCTATTATTTTTTATCCACTACTTTTCCGCGGCAAAGGTCAAGTGATTAAGCACTTATTAATGTCTCATGAATTTAGATATCCCTTAGAGATTAATAATGGAAAAGCGATTATCGCTCATGTATTCGTAAACTGGTTTCTAACGTTTATGAGATATAAAGGTTAAGAAAACTTAAACAAGATTTTGTCATCTAATGAAGATTATTCTAGTAATTTTATATTTAAAATATTGTGATTAATGTTCATGTTATAGTAACACTTTTGTAAACTATCTAATAATAGTACATTTTAGCCAATTTCAATAGGAATATTTTAATATAGTGAAAATCTTAATTTTGTCGTTAGGTCAATAAGTTGATGAGAACATTTATTAGTGAATATAATTACTAAGATGAATGTGATTAAAGCTCATAGAGAAGTAAACACAATGAAGAAAATTAACTTATTTATGATTAAAATACTGACATTATAAAACAAGTTGAAACCATCATCATTGAAATGATTCATGTGATTAAAGGTCATATAGTAAGTGTTAAAAGAAATAAGAATATTATCCGTTTCATGAATACAAAAAACAAGAATTTCATATTCTTGTTTTATATTAAAAGTACCTGAAACCCTTGAACTATGCGTACGTAAGCAGTACGTCTGATCGTCAACTAAGCCTTCATTGTGACTCATAACTACTGATTATATCAAGGTATTCATTTGCACAGCTATATAACTATGAATTACTGATACAATGTGATTGTAGCAGTAATAAAAATTCTCATAGAATATTCAAAAATAAAATATAATGTAGCGAACAATCGTTTTCATTAACTTCATCATGACACTATTCAGTTATAAGCCCATAATTTTAATATTTTATAACGTCCCAAAATAAGGCATGCCATTAATGAATTTGACAATGTAATGTGTTAACAATGGTGAACGTTTACATCTGTGACGACATATATATACTTACAAATTGTAACATTTGCAAATTAGAAAGGTCATTCATTAAAGGTCGGGATTATTTGCAGTAAAGTGTTCAGTGGAAGAGCATTATAGGAAAATTTAAAATGCAAAAAAATTTGTGTCAATGAAATGCATAGTATGAGAATTGAATCTTGTCAATTGACATAATAATAATAATAATAATCATAAGGACAAAAAATAATAATAACAAATTGTAAATGTTCATTGATACAGTTGACCTAATTCATATTTATACGTTGAATGTCGATAGATATTTGTTGAGTCAGTCAGTCAGACGACGTAAGCTTGTTCATTGACACTTCATGAAACTGATATTTCAAATGCTGCTTGTCAAAAATGGTTACATTCATAATGTCTAGATATAGTTCAGGTTTCATATTACGGCGGTTAACAATCTTCACACATGACTGATGAAACACACACCAGTTTTGATTACGACCAAAAAAATTAATTTTAAAATGCAGAACTACAAATAATTTACAAGTGAAAACAAAAAACCGTGTTTCAATGGACTTTTAAAATGAACCGAATTGACATCTAACCCTTTTTCTAATTCTCATTAAGAAGAATAACCATTTACAAAATAAACATTCACTAAACATGAAGTGTCTATTTCGGTTAAATTTATTACTACATTCATATACTGTCAAAGTCAGTTCATTCAATGATGGTCTACGGTTGGTTCACCTGAATTATGCATATTGCAATCAGTAATTTATCATGATGATTTATTGATATATTGATTTGTTTCTCCGATTAACAGACCATGTTTTACAAAAAAACCTATGCACACACTTTGATGATAGTTTGTTTATTAATTGGGTATTCAGCATTAGACTACCGACCTAATTCAGTAATCACTATTATCAAATATTCAAACCGGTTTTCAGTTGCTTTTTTCCAAAAAACTTTCTTTTAATGAGATACATTTACTTAATCGTGTTAAGATAACTAACGACTTCAATTCATGGTCTGCTTGATCGGAAAACAAAAATTTATCCCAATACACATTCACTAACAGTAGGATTGCACGGTAATGCAATTAAGTTGGTGTCTTTTTCTTCAAAAGTCTAAAAAGACTAAGATTACACAAAAAAAATTATTCATTATCATTAAATTTCAAATGTAAAAAATGAAATTTCTGACATCCAATCACAGCTCTAGATGTGATTTCAATTTCAACTAATCAGATTACAAAGATGAACAGTTCACGACCAATAACAAAATTATTAAAGGTAACAAAATGTTTGTTTATTATCACTTAAGCACACACTTGCAAAACAAGTGCACCAATCAACGATACCTAAATTTTTCATTCACACCCCACAATTTTTTTAAAATGGGTAGCAGGGAATCATATTGGCCGGTCGCTTAATGTCAACCTAATAACTGTGTCTAAATTTGATAACAGTTTATGAACAATTAGTCCCTTTGATAAATTTCGATAATGATATTAGAAGACGAAGATTATCAGAACTATGTGATTGAAACAACGACTTAAATCAGTCATCAATAAAACCTATTGCGCAGCCAAGGTCATCATCAAAGAAAGAACAAGGTGTATGCTTCATTCAAAACCTAAAGTACATGAAAACGATTGCGTCACATCCCACTGTGTTTACCAATTTAAATGTGTGTGTGGTCACACATACATAGGGAGGAGTAATCGTGATCTCAACATTAGGGTGAGTGAACATGTACCCAAATGGCTTCAGAAACAAATACAATCGAGTGATCCAATAAGAGCAGAGGATAAACATCCATCATCCTCTATTGCTAAACATATAATTGAAACAGGTCACAAGATTGATCTAAATTCAGCTTTTGTAGTGCTGTATAAAAGTGTAAAAGGGCGTATACTAAGGTTTATTGAAGCCTTAGCCATACGAAAATTCTGACCCCCTTTGTGTGTTCAAAAACAGTTTGTTCTTACCTTAAACCTACCCTGGTTATATTGATTTATTATCCAGAGTGATTAGGTTTCAAATTGTGTTCACATTATTATTATTATTATTACTCTTATCATTATCCTTATCTCCTCTTACCCCGTTTCCTGTCTAGTTGACCTTTTATTTTTTATATATAAATGCTCTTAACAAGTACATGTGTGACCAGATTGTTCGAAATGTATTGCGCTAATATATCACATAGTTCTGATAATCTTCGTCTTCTAATATCATTATCGAAGTTTATGAACAACCGAAGCGCGAACCAAGAGCAAAACAATATGGAAGCTGTTGCGTTTAAACAAATACACAAAACTGTGGATAACCGCTATAGTGATTAATGGACAGTTATTATAATAATAAATACAATGATAAGTACAATAAACGTTTTAAGTACGTGTGAACATTTCAGAACATTACACTACGACTTGCGTTACAACATAAGTTTGAAAATTGTTGAGAATACAACTGCTTACTGAATGTAAATAAGTAGTAGTAGTAGTAGTACAAAACCCACCATTTACTTTCCCAATCATGGAAACGTTACCATTGAGCCACTAAAGCAGTTACTGACCTGTCATAGGATTAAGTTGTGTTCATTAACTGATCAGTTAGTAGTAACGAGTATCATGTTTGTCTAACTCTTCTTCTCAAATAAACCATATTAAATCATTTTCAATGTGATCTAAGTGATTGTCATCATGGTAGGTTAAGGTAATCAACGAGGGGCATCAAAGATTCTAATTTACTTCAAAGAAATACTTATAGTCTCATGCATCATTGAGTTAGGGATTTACTAAGAGTCTATGCTTTACAAAACAGTTTCACTCATGAAATCTACTTAACATTATACATCTATATCAACGTAGGACCTCCGGTCTCGCCAGCGAATGCTTAACTTCTAGACCACTGAGCTGGCATCCAACGGTGTTAATGTTTAACTCCAAACAATCCACGAAATCGCGGGACCATTTTCCATTGTTTGAGTAGATACCTGATTCTACCTAACACGGATTGGCTCCACTGATCAAGGCTTCTGATTAGAACATTGATAACATTTCATCTAATCACTACAAGTAGCACAAATGTCTCGAAAAATTTTGAATTATATGCTCTGAATAAATGATGACTTACCCTATTACTAAGTGTACCATACTTCAACAAGCTTCTGCAGGTCAAACGTTACCAACGAACTTATAAGTACCCTTGTTTTCTACACATAAATAAATCCCGATGAGAAGCTTCTTTTCTTACGTCGTCACTTTCCCCTACCATTCAGGGTTCAAGAAAGCGCTCAAGAAGTCATTATCAAGCATTTCATTTGTAGACTTAAAAAGTTATGTAAATAAAAAGACAACCTATAATTGTGCGAAACAGTCCAAATTAGTTTACGTGGATTGTCTACGATTGACAGATAATCAAATCAGATAAATTTAATCAAAACAAATCATACAATTAAACTGAAAGTTAAGTTCAATCGCAATGCAACTAATCATTATGTGAACCATTTGTTAAGATTAAAATGACCAAGTATAAATAAACGATTCTAATGATTGAAGGTCTTATAATAAACACAGACACAAAGAATAAATTACTCTAAAGCATCAAATGAACTTTTGAGTTTATGTAAACGAAAGCCTCAAGTGTTTGGGTACAGAATATTCAACAGGTATACAAAAAGTGTTTATGTCAATGGGATGTTAATATGCTGTCTGCTTTTTTCATCTCAGTAAGAATGTTTGTATCTTTTGATTTAGATCATGATAGTATTTTGCATCTAGTAAATAATTAGTGCAAATTCACTTGGTATTGTTTCACTTGTATCTTCCCATTGATGTTTAGGATTGCAATTGGTCAGTCTCTTATTGGCATATGTACATACCATGCGTATTGTTTCTATGAGAAGATTCAATTAGAACGATACCAGGTCAATTTAAACTTCACACATCGAACAAGCGAGCGACTATCAGGACTCAGTAGCTAAGTGGATTAAGATTTGACGCTTGAAGCGAACGGTACTGGGTTCGAGTCCCAGAGTGAACATCAATCCCAAGATGTGGGTAAGTCCAGCTGACGAGTCCTAAATAGGACGAAACGCGCATCAAACTGGATTCCACTGCTAACCACTATCCGTCTTTGCTTATAATAGTTAGTGTAAATGTTTACAGTACATTAATACTGACATAAAATGTTGTGATAAGTGGAAACGATCAACAAAGATAGAAGAAACTCGAATTTATTATCTTCCCATGAGAAACTGATGATTATCAATAAAGCTACATTAAAATACACTAGATCCAAATATATTCTGAAGCAGGTTAATGGTCTCTATCCATGTACCAGGATAGTATTCTAAACGTTAATAGCTTAAGTATAATGAATACTGAGAAATGATTAAGCAATTTAGTGTTAAATATATCAAAATTTATAGTTTTTCATAAGAATATACATATGTACTTCTCACAGTCATCAAATTCATTAAGAATAACATTGTTTTTAAATTATTTTACTTAAAATACATTGTTTGGATCTGAAACATAGAGAACTACTACTACTACTACAACTAACATCAAAGAAGTACAAGTATTTACAAACAGTTGTTTACGCAAGATACTCAATATGCGTTGGCCAGATACCATCAATATCAACCTACTGCCAGAGCGAACAAACCAACTTCCAAATGAAGAAAATATTAAGAAACGACGTTGAAAGTGCATAGGACATACAATACAAAAATCATCGAACTGCATCATGAGGCTGAAGAGGAACGCAAGAAAAGAAAGTTGAATAACATACTACGTCAGAGATTGGAAGCAGATATCAAAAGAATGAATAACAACTAGAAACAACTGGAACGGATTGTCTAGGACAGAGTTAAATGAAGAATGCTGTTAGGTGGCCTATACTCCTCCACGAGGGGTAACTAGCATAAGTAATGTAATTTAATAATCAACTAAATAACATATTATAATTCAATTAAATCAATCAACTAATCAATCAATCAATAATTACTTACCGATTATTTTCTTTTAAGCATATTTCATTAAAATGATCTAATTCAATTTTATTAGATTTAATGATTGTTTGATTATCATATCGATGATCATCACTAATCATATTGAATAATGAAATGAAAATAAAATTTTATAAAAGATAATCCATTTGGAAATCAATGTAAATTGCTTTTTTCTCTATTTTTCCTTTTTCTCTTTTTTCTTTTTTCTCCTACTAAGTTAATTATAGGAAAAAATAGTAAAGAAGAAAAAAAAGCAAAGAATTCGATGAAAGAATAATTTTCTCTCTTTTTCTGTTTATTTTATTATAGTTTTATTCTACGTACTCACTTCTTCCTTCTTTATTTCGTTTTTTTTGTTGTTGTTGTCTGTTTGTCTGTCTGCCATTTTTCAAGTATCTTATATAGTATGACTCCCTATCGTATTGTAAACCAATCAATTAAAGAATAATTTCCATATGACATAGCAACAGAAACTGACATCAACTAGTTTGTTATTTTTATTTTTATTTTTCACTAGAGTACAGTGAGTTAGTACCCTTTTATTGATGATAATTTATTGATATGAATGAATAAATATAATTTCATTTGTGATTATATATAATACTTATTTTTGTACAAAGAAAACAACAATGATCAAGTGATGGAGTTAGATTAGAACAACAATCTATTTAAATAAATATAGGCAACCCACCAACATTCTATATTCAACTCTATCCTGAATGATCTTTTCCAGTTGTTATTCATTCATTTTATTTCTGCTTTCAATTCCCGACGTAGTATGTTCTTTGATCTTCCACTTCTTTGTTTCCCTTCACGATTCCAAGTTAACGCCTGCTTTATGATGAAGTTTCATGATTTCCTCAATGTATGTCCTATCCACTTCCAACACTTTTTCTTAATATCGTCTACAAATGGACGATGGCTTGTTCTCACCCACAATAGGTTGATGATGGTAGTATCCGGTCAACGGTCATCATACAATTTGACTCCCTTACAAATTGTAAACCAATCAATTAAAGAAGGATTTTTGTATCACATAACAACAAAACAAACTGATATCAACTAGTTTTTGATGTGTTTTTTTTTCACTAAAGTACAATAAGTTAATGCCTTTTATGGATGATAATTTATTGTCGTTAATGAATAAATATAATTTCATTCTTGATTACATAATATTAAGATAGATATAGATAGATAGATAGATTAGTGCAACAGTTTATTTAAATAAACACTGATCATTCTCTAAAAATATGGATATCTACCTAATAATAATAATAATGATAATAATAATAATAATGTATATATATATATCAAATTTCAATTCACCTAAAATTATGAAAGAGGGTATCGTGGAGATTGTAGTGATTTTTATTAATTGAATTCATAAGTCAATTGACCACAATAGAAAACTTGAATGGCCGTTTCTTTCTAGTATGGGACTTCTCAGCAGTGCACATCCACGATTCTACCTGTGGGTCTTGAACCCAGGACCTACCGATCACGATCACGAACGTCTAACCTCTAGACCATTGTGCCGGTCGGCATCTAATGGTATTAATATCTAACTTCAAGCAATCCGAGAAATTGAGCCACCTTCTACCATTTTCTTCAGTGTGTTACTATGTCATAACAGACCCGGTTGAACTCCACTGGTGGCGGCTTTTCACTAGAACTCCAGGAAATCCACCTTGGAGCCAGTCACTATTGAGTGCATGATGAGTATTATCATATAGGGGTTTTGTGGAGATTTTAGTTATTTAATAGTTGAATTTATAAATCAGTTGAAGCTATACCACCATTAAAAGTCTGGAATCACTGGACGGCCGTTTCGTCCTAGCATGGGACTCCTCAGCATTGTGCATCCACGATCTAAAATTATTCAATAAAACGATGTAAACAGATTAGTTTAATAAAATGACAATGACGACCAAAGTTAACCTAAACGCTTAGGTTGAAAAATGTTGGATCCTGTGTGTATTTATAACACTGATCTGAGATGATGTCATGACTAAGTGAACGAACAATGATTTAGTTATGCATAACATATTAAGTAGAAAATATTGAATCAATCGTAAAATTTCATCGACTAACTTGTTTAAGAAATTTTTAACCTATGATTAACAACCCCTTTCTATAAATCGTATTAATGATCAACATAGGAGTAAGCTTGAAGTATTCTAACTAAAATTTATAGTATCACTTCATGAAATCATTAATTCCTCAGCTTATCCATGTTGAAAAGTGTATCGTTGACAGTTAAACCCTATACAATAATCATAGTCGGTTGTCGAAGACTGACAAACAGATAAAAAGAAAACAATTACACTGTCACAATTGGATTCGGATTTGAAAAGTCCTCGTGATTTTTTCAGTTTTAATTTGATTCTATATTCTTCACTTTTTGAACTATCTTCTTTGTATTTATTTCACTAAAGCGTATTTCATTCTCATCTTTTAAACATTCCCTTATTGAGTTGACAATGAACTGATGAACATTGTTATCACATCCCAAATTCTTTATTGACTTAATGAATAGTATATATTTTATTGCATAGAAACTACTACAGTTTATTGTCCAATTAAAAATTTAGTCCATGTCCCTCTTTGTCACAAAAGGGAATCGACATATTTTGCATAATCAGTAATCGATTTTCAGTGATCACAAACACATGCTCTACCTAAAGTGCAACATTAAGCAATAAAAACTATGATAAAGCGTTTCATTGAAGCGATTATTTGATAATCTCTCAGAATCTCAAATTCATTTTCTTAACCAGATGATATTTAATTCATGCCAATTGAAAAGAGCAAGACCAAAGAACACACTACGTTAGGAATAGAAAGCAGATATGAAAAACAAGAATAATAACTACAAACAAATAGAAAGGATTACTTAGCATAGAGTTGTATAGAGAATGATGGTAGTCGGCCTATACGCCTACACGAGTGGGGTAACAGGGGTAAATAAGTAATTATAGTTTTGAAATCATCAGAAGTTGGCACCATCATCATCAGTATCAAATTTTGAATGAAATAACTGTATAGTCTTTCTTTAGTTATTCAAAAGTCTTTCAATGGCATGCCAGTGTATGTTTGTGTTATCCCCCAGAAACAAATCTGACTATTTTGTAATTTCTCGTATATATTAGAACTTATAAGTGAATCGGTTTATTTCTTTTGTTAGAAGTTATAAATCACATCAATTTTTATTAACAAAAACAAATAAGAAGGGGTTTTGGAGAGGTTTTAGAAATTTTCACTGGTTGAAATCATGAGCCAATTGAAGCTAGACCACCATGGAAAACCTGGAAGCACTGGACGGCCGTTTCATCTGCTCATTAGTGACTGACTCCAAGAGATACTCCTGGAGTTTCAGTGAGAAGCCATCACCAATGGAGTTCAACCGGGTTTGTTATGATATATTAACACACTGAAGACAATGGTAGAAGGTGGCTCAACTTCGTGGATTGGTTGAAATCAGACATTAACACCGTTGGATGCCGGCTCAGTGGTCTAGTTGGTTAGGCGCCTGGCGCGAGACTGGTAAATCCTGGGTTCGAATCTCGCGGGGTGTGGGGTCGTGGATGTGCACTGCTGAGGAGTCCCATACTAGGACGAAACGGTCGTCTAGTGCCTCCACTTTTCCATGGTGGTCTAGCTTCAATTGACTCACGATTTCAATCAGTGAAAAACAAATAAACAAAAATTAAAGGTGACTTCAAAGATTTTCACTAATATCCTTTTTTCAATTATCCATGGCATTAATATCTGCTGATCTCATCTGATATTGTATAAACCATAATAAAAGATTTCAAAACACGCCACTAGCAAGTAGTAATGAAAAGGTCTCAATATTGATTTCCTAGTTGCTAAGTCATTACGTCTATTTCATAAAAAAATAGTTCGACGATAAATTTCATAATAATTAACAGTAAGATTGTAGTGAACTAGAACACAAATAAGTGGGGACAATTGGATGTATTTGAACACACCATTACAAAATCTCTTAATAAGATCTGAGAACCGTACAGTTAATAATTCATTTGCAAAATGTCAGTCAATCGTCTAAGACTTTATTGTTCTTTCGTTTACACAACCATCGCTCTCTGTTCTCGTTCCCTGTTCTTCGATTTTCATAACCTTCTGTGGTGAGACTATAATTTATGGATGAATCAATCAATCAGATTTACGATAACAAGTCTTAGATTTTAGCGCAGAATTTATTCATCCATTTGGTTAAATAGAATATTGGCATTATAACTGATGTCAGTTTGTGATGAAAACTCTAAATCTAATTCCTAACCCTAACCATCAACTGTAAATTATAATCCTTATCGTTTAAACTACTTTACAACCCTCATTTAGCTATAGTTAATAAATAGACACTCTCAAGGTCACTTTAGCGTCGCTTAAAGGTCGTCCATAAATTATAGTCTTACCTATTCTGTCTTCAGGCATTTCACTTTCGACTGATAATATATACTACTTATATCTGTCGACATCAGTGGCACACAGCATAAGATAATTAAAGATTATTATTATTATTAATAGTGTATTCACAGTTGCTGTTTCTACAAAATACATGTAGTTGTTGTCTAACTCGAACTACTAGGTTAGTTATACATACAATATAAAAAGATTAGATAGGATTAAAACTTCAATAAACAAGTAAACAATGGTGAAAAAGATATCTTAACTGCTTGAATTTTTTTTTATAGTGTATTTAGGCTTTACCATCCAGAAGACTTCAAATTAGATAACTTTGTATATATATTTCATACCAAACACCTCATAGATCAATGTCTACAGTATGGGAATTTATGGAAATTATAGTATTTCTCCAGTTGGATTCATAAGTCGATTCAAAACAGACCGACATTGAAAACCTGGAAGCATTGGAGAGCCGTTTCATTCTAGTGTGGGACTACTCAGCAGTCAGTATTAACAAAGCGGAGTAACGCGTGTGGGATTGTGTATGAATATTACTGAGGAGTACCATCCTGGTATGAAACGGTTTTCCAGTGCTTTCAGATTTTCAATGGTTATCTAGAATAACTTTTTTTAACATACCGTGAAATCAACATTCCAAGCTGTTTCACCA